TCTCTTCTCTTCTCATAAAGACATCAGTTCTGTGGGATCTGGGCCACCCCGAGGACCTCATTGAACTGATCACGTCTTTAAAGGGCCCCTCTACAGATATAGTCACGTCAGGGATTAGGGCTCCACCCTACGAGTGTGGGGGATGCATTTTTTAGTCCACAGCATACAGGAAAACATGAGCGTGGCCGTTTCCCTGCGGGCCCTGCATGTGGGTGCCCGTGCAGGGATGTGGGTGCCCGTGCAGGGATGTGGGTGGCTCATCCACTCCTGGAAGAGCCGAGAGTTGGAGTCACACTGGGTGTGAACCCTGCCCTGGGCCCCAGGAGCCTGGGGCTGTGGAAGAGTCAGGGCCCTCTGCACAGCGCAGCTTCCGCTCCTGAACACAAACCCTGAGAGCACCTGTGCCCCCGGCTGATGCATGAAATCAGAGGTGGTGACTTGGGTGAGGGTTCTGAAGACAAAGCCTGTGGGTGGGTGTGCGGGAACCCTGGTCCCCTCTTCCTGTAGCTTTCCAAGCCCCCTCTCTCTTCTGTTCCTTTATGTAACAAGGTACCTAAGTTTTCCTTCCAGGTACATTTGCACACGGACACACAGAGCCAGACGCACAAGACACACACAGTGAGGGGCACAGGGCATGAAACAGGGGCTCCGGTGAAGCCATGCGGCAGACATGGACAGCGAGCACATAGACGCCAGGCGTGGACACCCGTGAGCACCCACAGCCCACAGCACTGCGCGCCTTACCTCGGAAGTAGGGGATGTAATGATGTCTGAACACGGATGTAGGGCTTGGGTGTTGGGACAGGGAGAGGCAGCTACTGGTACCCACACTCACAGTACCAGCTACGGGGTAACAGAGAGCAAGTCAGAGTCAACCTGGGCTGGCTGGTGCAAAGCCACACATATTCCTCATCCCCACCCTGCTAGGAACACTGTTGCTTCCTCTCTCGAGGAATGCACACCTTTTTGCACCTGAAGGGGGTCACCAAACACGTTTTAGACCACTCTCCTCCAGGTACAGAGCGAGGAAACCGGACCTCAGAGGACCAGGCAGAGGCCCAGGCTGCTGCATAGGAGCCTTGGGCCGGGGTTCCCCGGGGGTGTTGGGTCCCCAGCCAGGCCTGTCACTTAGCACTGGGGGTCTCCTGGGGATCAAGGACTCAGCTGGAGAGCAGTTCAGGGAGTGGTCTGCCACCAGATATCCTCACCGGACTTGCCCGGCAAGATGCAAGCTTGGCTCTCGGGTTAGCCCGGGCCAAGTGCAGTCAACAAGCCCAGGCTGTCCTTGTGCTATGGCAGCTGAGCCAGCAAAGGGCCCTCAGGACGAGGAGCTCAATAAAGTTGACTGCCTTTAACTCACCTACTCGCTCACTCACTCATTTCTTCACTCATTCATTCACTCAGTCATTCACTCACTCACTCCCTTGCTCACTCACTCACTCAATCACTCATTCACTCACTCACTCATTCCCTTAGTTGCTCACTCACTCATTCAATCACTTATTTACTCACTGACTCATTCACTCATTCATTCATTCACTCATCAATTCACTCATTCATTCACTTGCTCACTCACTCATTCAATCACTCATTCACTCACTCACTCATTCCCTTATTTGCTCACTCATTCAATCACTCATTCACTCACTGACTCATTCACTTGTTCACTCATTCATTCATTCACTTGCTCACTTATTCATTCACTAATTCACTCATTCATGCACTCATTCACTCATTTACCACTCACTCACTCATGCACGCACTCCTTTACCCACTTTCTCAACATTTATTGAGCAGAATGTACCAGGCGCGTTGCAAGGAGTCAATGGAAATAACTTTGCAAATGAATGAGTTTGATTTTTCCACAAAGGCTGCAAAAATAAGAGCCACAGTCCATGGATGTATAAATGGAGCCATGCAGCAGCTGGCCAGGAAGGAAGCAGCTTGGAAAAATCCCTCAAAGGCAGTGTCTGTGTGGAGCGTCCCTGTCGTGGCTTTGACACGCTCAGGGGGTTGAGGAGTTTCACAGCTACAGGGATTGATAACACAGCTGGGCGCCAGGCAGAGGATGAGGTGATACATGTGGAGAGGACCTGCCTCGGGGCTCCCTCCTGACTGGCGGGGGCCTCTCACCCATTCTCCCACGAGGACAGCTGTCACTGGGTGACCAACCTACCCACAGGTGAAATGTTAATGGGCTTAATTTTTCCACTACTGACTTTGTTTTCCCAGCTTGAGTCTTCTGAGACCCACATGAGTTTGCAGCCGGCCGACGTCTGCTCTCCTAACACATGTGCTGTCTTATCGTCCTGACATCTCTTGCCACCAAATCATTAGCTGGAATCGAAGTGCTCAGTGTGTGCTCCCCAGGACGTGTGCTCCACAGAGGGCTCCACCAAACCCGCAGGGCAGCCTCTGCAGCTCACCTCACCCCAAGGTACAAGGAGGTCCTTTTCTTTATGCCACTAAATGAACAGGTTCTAGCCACCCACCTGCTGACAATCCCACCCATTTCCATCATGTCTCCAGTTGCATAAGAAAAAGGCCACTTATAAAAGAAAAACAACAACAACAACAACAAGGAGAAAGACAGCATCCTGGGGGCTCAGAGGAACCAGGGGGCCAAGTACCTGGACGGCTGTAGTGCTGTGGTGACCGTGAAGTCGGGGTGTAGCGCCCGAGGCTGACCGACCCAGTGGAGCTTGGGCTGGAGGTCCGGCACTGCTTGTAGGACCGGTCATCCTGATCCCCCTGGGAGGGAAGATGTAGCTTGTGAACATCCAGGCTGGGAGCACTGCCCACCCCTTTCCACCCATGTCCCCACACCATTTGGTGTTTGCCCTCCTGACCCAGCGGATGACTCAACATGGCCCCATGTGGGAATCTCCTGCACCTGTCAGGGCAGGTCTGAAGAGCCAAGTGGGGCTGGTGTGGTGCAGACACAGTGCCCGCCGTGCCTGCTGGATCCTTGCCACAGGGTGTGGTCCAGGGACCCACTGGCGAGGATCCCCCATCTTCCCCTGCTGCAGGTCGGGGCTCCAGCTTCATCCTCCAGGTCTCCTCCTGCCTGACCCTTGCCAGCGCCCAGCTCTTAGAACACAGTGTGAGAACCACAGAGACTCCCCCAGTCCTGAGGGGGGCTTCTCACGTGTGAACTGGGGGCTCTAACGGCCCTGGAGGCACATTTGGAGGTAGAAAGGTACTCCACCCCAGGCCGGGAAGCCCAGTTGAGTCAAACCCACAAGCAATGACATGGCAGACTTCATCCAAGCAGGAGCAGCTGTTTGCAGCAGGCAGAGCGGGAGGCAGGTGGCGTGGCGTGGCACCATGGCACGGGGGAGAGCAGGCTGCCCGGCCCACCACAGCTTGGCATGCTGGCCTGGGTCATTACATGGCCCAGCCCAGTGTCCTGCTGCAGGGTGGATGCTGCTGTTTTGCCCTCAAGGCCAGCACTGTGATGAGCAAAGGAATTCCTGGTCCGGGCCCATGGCTCCCCTGGCCTGTCGGAGCATGTCTCCCACCCCAAGGTGTGCTGTCCCTAACACCTGCCTAGTGCGCCACCTCCATGTGCTCAGGCCAGCCCTCATGCTAGGTTCCTACCTGGGCTTCGCCCTGCACCCTTTGGCGACTGTCTAACCCCAGCCAGGGGCATACTCTCTCGGGCCGGCTAGTGCCCTGTCTCTCTACCCCGGGTGTCCTCTGCACAGCCCTGTCCACCTTATAGGTGTCCTGGCTCCTTGTTCAGCCTGGACTCAGGGCTTGCCAGCTCCATGCAGGTTCAGCAGCTAGGCGCAAGTGGCCCATTGTGTGTTTGGCCATCACATCCCTGGATCCAAGGGTTTGATGCCCAGCTGCTGCTGGTCATGTTCTTCCAGCAGAACAGCACCACCAAGGCCCACACTTGCCCTGTTCCTCTACCGTCCCCCAGCGCAGTGTCTATGGGGATAGGCTAAGGAGTCAAGCAGAGAAGCCAGGCAGAGGGCTCTGCAGAAGATTCCGGTTCTCCAAAGCTGTCAGGAGCTGGGGAGGAACTCAGCCTCAGACCACTCCTAAGGGCTGGACTGGGAATCCTGGCTGTGGACAGGGAAGGCAGGAAGCAGGCAAGTCCCGATGAGGGTGGCTGAGGTCCTGTGACCACAGTGACCACTTCTGGACCAGAAGCTTGCAGGCTGTGCATGGCTGTGCAGCTCCTACTGAGCAAGTGTGCGTGCTTTTGTGCCCCACTCTAGGGTACAGCACGAGACAGGGACCTCTGCAGGGAGACCAGGCTCTTCCCAGGAGTGTGCTCTGGGTCAGGCAGACCCTTCACCTCAACTGGAAGGGGAGCTGACATCCCTCCCTCAGGGGTTCCCTGTGCAGGTAAATGAGGAGATGAAACGATGCCCGGCCCCAGGCCTGGGACATCAAAAGTCACTGTAGGAATCACTGCCCTAGGGATATAGCACCCAGGTACCACGGCCGTCACAGCTCCCATGGGGCAGGCTGTCTGGAGCAGGAGGCTGGAGAGCCCAGTGGGTGAGCACAGGCTCTGAGTCACCCGCTGGGCTGAAATCCTCCCGCACCTCAGAGTGCGTGACCCTGGAAAGGTTATGTGACTTCCCTGTGCCTCCGTTTCTCTGCGGTAAACTGGGGAAAATCACAGAACTTGCCTCTGGGGGTCGTGGTGGGGAATGAATAAATATAATTTTTTTTTTTTTTTTTTTTTTTTTTGAGACAGAGTCTTGCTCTATCACCCAGGCTGGAATGCAGTGGTGTGATCTCATCTCACTGCAACCTCTGTCTCCTGGGTTTAAGCAATTCTCCTGGCTCAGCCTCCTAAGTAGCTGGGATTACAGGCACGTGTCACCACGCCTGGGTAATTTTTGTATTTTTAGTGGAGGCGGGGTTTCACTATGTTTTGGCCAGGCTGGTCTCGAACTCCTGACCTCAGGTGATCTGCTCACCTTGGCTTCCCAAAGTGCTGGGATTACAGGTGTGAGCCACCACGCCCAGCCTATAAAATGTTTACAACGGCACCAAGCACAGGGGAAGAGCTCAGGGCACGGCCGCTGCCTGGGCTCTCTGTTCCTGGCTACCATGACACGTTTCTGCTGCGGCCACCCGGCCGCACAGACTGCAGTCTGATTGGCAGCTGTCTATGTCACTGATGAATTTTGAGAAACAGGAAAAAAAAAAAACAACAAAAAAACTAGACCACTAACAGTAAAAGCTCTTTTGTAGAGAGACATGTCCAGTGTTTCTCCACGAGGACTGGGTGCTTCCCATACATCCCACGTGGAGAGGCAGGAGGCAGAAAGCGCTCCCACGCTCAGCCAGGCTCAGCCAGGCTCCTGAATTTTCCCCTAAAGGAAGCCACAGCCCACACCACGATCTGCTTAGGGGAGACCCGCGTCCCAGGCGGCCACATCGGCAGGGCTGGCAGACACACAGGGGAGGCATGCAGGTGCGGTGTGATCATAAAAATAACCAGCAGCCAGGAGGATGCCCCACATCACAAGGGCCGTGGCCCGGAGCCCTGTGGTGAAGAGCCACCAAGGAGGCCCTTCCCGGGGGTCAGCTGGGCGGTTATGTTTATAACCTGGGCGGCAGCGCCACGGCAAGCGGGGGCAGGCGAGAGGGTGGTGGTTACCTCGGTCGGCGTTGGCGAGAGCAACTGAGGGGACTGTGGACACAACACACAAAGTGGCCGTTAGTGCTGGCGCCAGGCAGAGAGGGAGAGAGCAGTTCCGTGACTGGCAGGCAACACGGGCGCAAACACCCACACAGAGCCCTGATCCTCCAGACAGGAAAAGAACTCTACCCAAGAGACACAAGACAGGGCTCCAGAACCTTCTCTTTGGAGAAACGTGGTTAATTCTTCCCAGAGAAAGAAGCCCCCGGGGAAACTGATTTCGTGCCAATGAGCCCAGAGCTTGTCTCCCCCTGGCCACCCCCATGTCCCACTGTTCTCCACAAAGACGTATTTTCCCAAAAGGAAGACCCGGGCTCAGGGCACGGGCAGCATCATCCTGAGGGCCCATCACCTCGGTTTTCCCTGGACAAGAGAGAAAAGGTGCGCAGCAGAGAGAGGGCGATCAGGAGCCTTTGGGTTGGAGCCGGCTCTGCCGCAGGGGCCCTGGGGACCTAGACAGTAGGCTGACCCGTCTCCCCAGGCTGGCACCCCATCCACCACCACCTGCACGTATGTTCAGTGAGGGTCATGGAGGTAGGAGGGGCCCAGAAAGAGCACAGCCCTTGTGAGGTGAGCAAGCAGTGGGAAAGAGAATACCGTTCCCACGGCAGAGCGGGGAGGCACTCTGTTCACAGGAACCATGGTTATTACACAGCAATAACTCGACGGCCTCTGGGAGGCTGCCACAGGCCCTGTGCCACCCCGTGCCATGGGAGGTGGGAAGCTGAAGGCTATGGGTGAAATGATGGAATCGAGGGAGAACCCTCAGGCTGCTCCTGGCCATCGGCATAGAGGAAGCTCTGTATGGACACACCTGACCCAGGCACCTGGCCCTGCCCACCTGCCGAGGCAGGCCCCATGGGGTGGTACTTTATGGCTGAGAGCAGAAGCTCACACACAGGTGCCAGGGTTTAGCAGAGCGGGGAGGCCAACCCAGGTCTCCCCAGAGGGAGAGGGTGACTCCCAAGTCACAGCCCCTCCCTTCTGGCCCCTTGTCTGCTCTCTGGGGACAGGTCCTGGGGTCAGGATCATCCATGGTTCACACATGTCCTGCCATTTGAGGGGCGCAGCCCCAGACAGGCTAAAAGAAACCTCAGTGACAACAGCTAAGGGCCCATGTCCACTTGGGCCTGGAAGCTGTGTCCTGGTCATGCCATGAGACCCCTGGGAGCAGGACAGGGAGTGATACCAGCCCACTCCCAGACACATCGCCTCTGCATACGGCCCTTCATGGCCACAGAGCCCTCCTGCAGGGACACACGCACTCAAACCAGGAAAGGGTGTGCCCGATGCCCCAAGGCTGTCAGGAGTTGGAGGAGGAGCACGAGACCAACTCCTTCTCCTCCAGCACATCCTGTGGTCTTTGCAGGGAAGAAGGGACTGGATTTGGGTCTCAACCCTATGGCCAAGTTGCGAATCCTCTTGGACTGTCTTCCAGTGCCTGGTCCAGGTGCAGACCAGATGTTGGACCATAAAGCCCACACCCAGCCTGGGCAGGGTAGATGGGTACAGGTGGGTGCAGTGGGTGGGTACAGGTGAGTGCAGGTAGGTGGGTGTAAGTGGGCACAGGTAGGTGGGTGGTAGGTGGTGGTAGGTGGGTGCACTTGGGTGGGTGGGTGGTGAGTGGTAGGTGGGTACAGGTAGGTGGGTGGTAGGTGGT